GACTATTCCCAAGGGACTCATCAACACTTTCCGCATATTCATTACCACCTAATATGTTACCATAAAAAGTATTAAGACAGTTGGGTTAAGCGTTTGGGATTTATGGGTGGGAGTCCATAATTAAAACGTTTTTCCATAATTATATCGCGGCTTGTTCTAGGAAAACAAACGGGTGGTTTTTGAAGAAAACAAAACATGATTGTGTAAAATGTATTTCTTCTGCTTCGGAAAGATGGCCATATGCATGTTCTAAGTCAGTTAACCCTACCTAGACCGGGGGGGGGGCTAAAAGTGCCCGCGGCAACTTTGATGTCACATAGCGTCTGAACGGCTAGCCGTAGAACGGCCAAACTTGGTGAATTTTCCTAGAATATTGTTGGCAACAATTCTCTATCATTGGCATAGGATAATAATTTTTTGTGTTGCCATGGCAACGGGTTTCTGACAGGCATTTTTTGCTAAATTTAGTACTTTTTGTTTCAACAATAGAATTTTATGGGTTTTATGTCAAGTTACTCATGGTTTCTAATATTAATAACATCCCATATAATGTTATGTAAATTTTATCATTAGATATGCATAATTTATGCTAATTCGACGACGTCATTGGCCAAAATCCAAGATGGCGGACCATATCATTAGAACAGGTATATACAGGTTATTTTCATTAAAATTTCATCAATACTTCCATTTCTTTTTCCAAAAAAGGTTTAAATGAAGGTCTTTAGTATGTTTACAATGTATTTTAGGCTTTATCATGAAAAAAAAACTATTTTTGAAAATTCAAGATTGATGATCCAAGATGGCGGATATCTTAAATATGCATGACGTCATTTTATGACGTCACCGGTGTTGCTATGGGCAACATAAGTCTAAGTACACCATAATATTCTGTCAAAAACACTTTTGGTACTTTTATGTTGAATACCATTTAGTTTTCAGGAAAAAACCTATTTAGACGGTTTTGGCCAATAAAATCACATTAATGACGTCATAATGACGTCATATTACGTCATAACGACAAAAAAATTGTAGATATGATAAATTTTTACTAGTACACCATTCTCTGAAAAGTTGGTGGTCATACGACATACCGTTCGCGAGTTCTTAGGGGGGGTCAAAAGAG